CATGGGAAAACCTTCCAGTCCCTTAGGAAATTGTTTTTGTTTTCTGCACAGCCTTTTCCAGCTCTCTGATAGTCTGTCTGAGATGGGGCAGACAAACTGAACACAGTAATCTTGATGTGACATCATACAGTGATTTAAACATGTGTGCTGCGTTACTCAACATTCCATTTTCTGTTCTTTTCATAATTATTCGACATGGAATTTGCCTTGTAAAGAAACCCCGCTGGATACTGAGTTCCCATTTTCTGCCCACCATAATTCCAAGTTTTCCTTTGCAGAGAAGTGAGATCTTTGGCCCCAGCTTTTATAGTTTACAATTATGCTAAATTACTACCATTTTGGGACAATCACCCAAACAATGCACACTGTCTGATGCACTGGAACTTTGCACAGTCTCCTTGGACTTCCACTTCCAGGAAAAACAAAGAAAGGCATAACAATGACCCATTTAATTTAAATACTTCACAATGCATCCTCAGCTCTAGAGCATGTCTGCATGTTTGGTATCATCAGTCCCAAAATGAATTATGATAATAGATTCCCCTAAGGAAAGCCCTTTGAAAAACAAATTGTAAGAATTCAAAGAGGGAAGATGTAGTAATAGTGAGATCCTTTGAAAAACAAATTGTAAGAATTTAAAGAGGGAAGATGTAGTAATACTGAGAGATTACAATTATCCTGATATTTGTTGGAAGGCAAATTTGGCCCTTCCAAGAAATTCCTGGCTTGTGTTGATGATAATTTTCTCCTACAAAAAGTGGAAGAATAAACTAAAGGATTAGAGCTTCTGGATAGCTGAGTGGTTTAGCTTGACTTGTTTCTAACCAATAGGGATGACTTGGTGGATGAAGTGGCAGTAAGAGGAAGTCTGGGGGAAAGTGACCATGTTCTACTTGAGTTCTTGATTTCAAAGGAAATCTGAATGTAGCTGCATGTACATGATGTATTTTAAGAAAGCAAAATTTAATAAATTCAGAACTGTGATAATTAAGGTCCCATGCCAGGTGATCCTGACAGAAAACGGATGGGTGGGGGTTTCTTAAAAAGGAAATTCTAAAGGCACAAGTACAAACAATTCCAACAAGAAATTGGACAGCAGCAGAAAACACCAATGTGGCTTCAGAAAAAGCCCAGAAAAGACCTAAAAATAAAAAGGACACATAGAGGAAGTGGAAAGAAGACTGGCTCATCAAAGGAAGCATACAGAGAAGTAGCAAATGATTGCAAAAATGACATTATGAAGTCAAAAGCTGAGAATGAGTTGAGGTTAGGAAGTTATGCTTAAAAACAAAAAAAAGGCATTATTCCAGTACTGTATGTGTGTAGCAGAAGACAGAGAGAGAAAATTCAGGAGCAGATATAAAGTGGGCACTCTGCAGGCCCCTTGAAAACAATGCAGTGTTAGTCAGAAGCCAACACGGATTTGTCAAGAACAAATCCTGCCAGACTAATAATCTCTCATTTTTTTGATCTGGTAACCTCCCTGGTAGATGATGAGAATACTGTGGATGTAATATATCTTGATTTAGCAAAGCTTTTGACTATGTTCCTCATAATATTCTGTTTAGCAAGCTAACTAGGTATAGGCTGCATAGAACTGTTGAGAATTTTGATTATAACCTATATTTCATAACATCAGCAGAGTAAGGAGATATTGGTTAGCAGAGATACTTATGAGAGTAGGACACAGAGAGAGTAAAACCAACAACTTAGTCTATTTACATATATACATAGAGAAAAGATATTCCTCTGGCAGCAGGACATGACATGAAGCAACACACAGCATAGGAAAAGTGATCTGACTTACAGCAGATAAATACATTCATTTTACACATGACTTATGTACAGTTCTGTGACCAATCAGAAAATACATTACTTTATTTTCTGTTACACAAAGTTTCATCATGTACCACAGCTGTACAACATTAAGTCTTAATCCTTGATACCAACACCTGAATACAATCAGTACAGTGACTCAGGTAAAATCAGCCATTTTACATTTAACTATACAACATTAATATTTAATACATTTTCATATCAAAATCTCAACAAGAACTATCAGGTAAATACACAGATGGTTACAAAATCATAGAGAGTGCTTATCACTGCCTCCTTCTCAAACTGGGAGAAAGTAACAAGTGAGATATTTAAAAGAATATTAGATAACCCTCTGTCAAATAATACTTTGATTTGGATTCCTGCCTTGAGGATGGGCTAGAACTTGGTGGCTTTATAGGCCTTCCAACTCTATTTTTCTATTATTCATTCTAAGCAAGGATGGGTCACATATGTCCTCATCTGTTTGAGTGGCTCTCAGATGCCATCCCCAAGAGAAATATATTTTGCACTCGATCGATCGATCAGTCAATCAATACTTTGGATTCTCTTCAGATCGTATAAATCTTTTTGCCTCAGTCAATCAATCAATCAATCAAATAAAATAAATTTATTCAAAAAATGAATTATTACCAATAGAAGTCTCCTATAGTGGCAAAATTTCTTTACAGCAAGTGCAGCCAAAACTGGACATCGATTATTTCTGGTTTCGTGTGCGTGCGTGCGTGCGTGTGTGCGCACGCGCGCGCGCGCGCACACACAGGGAGTGTTCGGCAAAAATGGACTCCTGGCCTGATGTGAGGGATGCTTCTTTTCCTAGCTTCCTCATCCTGCTGATGAAGTCTTTTGGATGCTTACCTTGTTTTATTTCATCTCTTTATCTCAAATTTTCTTGCTTGAATTGTAATGCCTAATCATACAAACAACAACTTAGTATTTAACTTTGGCCAGATCTCCTCTCTCGTCAGTCTTTTTGCTTTAAGACAGGGATATATGGCCAGCTCCTCCACCATCAGAAGCTTGTTTGAGTTTAGCCAAATGACTCAAATGCTATGATCTGCACAAATCAGTTATATTATCTTTGCTATGGCAATTGTTAGAGCTACCAAGTCTAAAGTGGAACAAAGATTGAAATGTCATTTCATCTCCTGAAATATTCAGATCCCTAGATAAGCTGAAAGTAGCAATTAATATGTAAAAACTTGACTAGAACAATTGTAATTATGTAGTCATTGTTCTTTCCAAATGAAAACTACACCTTTGTGAATGATGTTTTTAACATTCTTTAGAACATTCTGTGTTGGCTAGGGCTACATAAGTTACTCACAGAAACTGTGAAGTGAATGAACAAAAGACATTTCAGCCTCCTGACTGATTTCCACTAATTTCCAAATAATCTGATATATAGAATGCATTCAGGTAATCACAGGATGTCTTTAGTTCTGTTCAGATCATCTAGGTCTTGTGTGTTTATAACTACATGATGGATAATGGGAAAATACTCTCTGGTCCTGCTCCTTCCTACACATCTCTATTGCTTAGCGCTTTCACCTTCTACATGTTGGATATTGAAGATCTGTAGTATGGATTCTAGTTTGTCATTCCATTGTGCTGTAATTCCCTAAAGGCTAGAATGCTGTCTTCACACTTGACCGAGGCTTGACCTTTGCATGTATATCCATGTATTGATAATTCTAGCTCTCAGTAGCAACCTCTGTGTGTGTGAGCTGGCTATGAATTCTTTGGCATCATGACTGTCAAAGAACCTCACATTACTTAAAGCAATACTTTTCTGCAGAATTATGCAGGTGGAGTATCATGATAATTATGTATTAATAATTGTTATAATAATTTGCTCGGATTTCTATTATAACAAAGTGTGCTTTTCATATACTACCCCACAGTACAACAACAACACAACCCTAAAACAAAAAGATTAGGTTTTTGAAAGCCACATTATGTGGTACCAACCAGCAAAAACAATTCACACTACTTCTGCTAGTCATCAAATGTACAGTTCAAAACTTAAAGCAACACTTATTTGTTTATGCATTTATTTAAATGTATGAACCACTGTGTCTACTTTATAAATCACACTAGAACAATAGACTCAAAAATGTAAAACACTTAATAAAACCAAGAAAACACAAAAAAACAAAAAAGGAAAAGCATATACTAGTTTGACACCTCAAGATTCTGCCTGAGCTTCAGTGTGGAAGCTGTGTACAGTTGTATGTAATGGGTAGTAGGAAAACCCTTTCAGCAGCCAGAAGACAAAAGATGGCCATTATTTAGTCTTCCCAGATTTCCACATCAGAAAGGTTTGTCCAGTAGGCAACGATTCATGACACATAATGATCATGGCTCTACTTCTCATACTAAAAAATATCCTTTACCATATTTGGATGGAGTTTGACTCTGACAGCCTGCACCTGTTAGCTGGGACTGCGCTAAAATCCTCTTAGCCACTGACCTGCCCCAGTTTTACTTTCACAAACAAGTTTTGCCAAATTCAGAAAGGAAACAGATTGCTGCTTCTCTAAGTGAGAACAAACCACGACTGGCTAACCCAGAAATTGAAACGATGGGATTAAATAGAATTGAAATTGTCTTGCTCACACTCATGGAACTGGATTGAATAACATGAAGCCACATCTGGTATAGTTTGGAAAGTTGTATTTTCCACCTCATCAGCTAGGAATGAATTACTATTTATTTTTGTTCTAAAATAGTTCTTCATTACTCGGTGACATAGAAGCCTAAGATCTGAGTTTCATGTTTTTTCCCCTCTGAGCTGTGACTGGCCATTGTAAGGCTTTGATAAAGCCACTGAAAGGCCCTAGATCAACTACTACCGTACTCAGCCAGTGCTTGGCCTGGAGCATAACCTATCTCAAAGGCTTGTAAAAGTATACTAAATAGCAGGAATAGAAAATGTGTGGCCCTGAGAGGCTTTTAGGCAGAATACAGTTCCTATCATCCCTCACCATTGGTTATGTTTACAAGAGCTGATGGGATTTGCAGTCCAGTTATATCTATTGGGTCACATATTCCCCACCCGACTGAATGCTAAGAAGGGCTGCAGGAATGATGAATGAGTGCTCTTATTTTGCTACTGAAACCACACGACTGCTCATTTTGTTATTCTCTTTTCTCTCCCTCAGGTGTGATAGCTGTTGTGATATTCATTCTGCTCTGCATCGCTGCCATCGCAGTACGGATTTATAAAAAGAAAAGTGTATATAAAAAAAAGGAGGTGAAAGGTTCGGAAAATGAGGATAGTGCTGAGACTGCCCTGAAAAGTGAGCTCAGCGTGCAAAACACAGTCAATGAAAACCAAAAGGAATACTTCTTCTGATTCACCTTTACAATTTTGAAATAATACAATTCAGAATGATAATGCGACCGTCTGACTTTTCGCTAAACTGGGGGATCTCAATGGACACGAGAAAAGGGAGGAAGGGGGGAAAAAGAAAAGAAAATACATTGCACTCAAAGAACACACAAAATGGATTTGAAGTCTATCAAACTGCATATGTTAAGTCTCATTGATTGCTGTGGGAGGCCTCTTTAAATGACATGCATTCCTTAGCTATTATAATGTAAATGCATTTTATGTAACAGTGAATTAGATATTGTAACCAGTTTCATTGTTGGTGGTTTTCAGCTGTTTTGCTGTGACTTTCTAAAATGGGAACTTCATGTGCATACTGAACACAGGTTTTGAATGGAAAAAAAAATCATAATGCACTCTCTCTTCCTCTTCCCATTTACTACTCTTCTTTTTAGATATTTACTTTTCAGGAATGAACTGTAATATTTTGCCTTAAACACTTGGGCTGCTGTCCAAAGCGGAGTTAAGCAATCTCAGGTTAAGCATTCAATTAACAAGGTTAAGCATTCCTAACTCTGGATTGGATGCTATTCTTGTTTTACTAGCCATCTGTTCATTGAAATGGCAAATGTTGTAGCCATTTACTGTTGGCCAACTCCAGTGTCTGTCATTTCGAAACAAAAACGAAGCTCAAAACCGACAAAAGCCTTTGTCGGTTTTACCCTACTAATGAATCAGTATCACTAAGGCAAAAGGAATTATGAATTGTAACATGCTGTAACTTGTACTGAGTGGTTCTTCTAAGTTTCAGTGTCCAAAGAAGTCACAGCATTAACTCCTGTACAAAATATGCCCATGTATTGTTCCATCTCTGATCTACATCTACAGCAGCTTATAACGGTGGCCAGAGTTAGCAACCTTTTATATATATTTCTATCTTAAAAATGTAACCACAAAAGGCAAACAAGGTTCTATCTGAATATTACACAAGAAAGATGTCAGATTCTTTGGTGATGGAGGCTCTAGAATCTAGAGTCTAGATGCATATCCTTCTGATGGTGTTGGAACTGCTCCCTTATAGTAATGGTCCCAAATAGCTGAATACAGTATGTTCCTGGATAATTTAACCATATGAGAAGGACCAGTTTGCAGACATCTTTATCACCATCATAGTCTTGCAGTCAAAACAAATGCCTTTAGGTCAAGTTCAAAAGGAGCCACATGACCTTACATGAGCTGATGGTCAAGTTGCAGAGCAGGCATAGCAAAATAAAGCAGGTTTGTGTCAAACTCAAGCAACAACTTGCTCACACTTAAGAAAGAACCGAAGAAGAGCCCTGCTAAATCAGGCCAGGTGTCCATCTAGTTCAGCTTCCTGTATCTCACAGTGGCCCCACCAGAAGCCTCTGGGAGCACACAAGGCAACTAGATGCCAGTCTCCTGATACCACTCTCCTGCATCTGGCATTTTGAGGTACAGTGGTGCCTCGCATTATGATGTTAATTCGTTCCAGCGAAATCGCTGTAGAATGAAAACATTGTAAAGTGAATTTTAAAAGCCCATAGAAACGCATTAAAACCCGATTAATGCATTCCTATGGGCTTGAAACTCACCGTCCAGCGACGATCCTCCATAGGACGGCCATTTTCGCTGTCCGTGCAGCGAGGAATCCATCCCAGAAAAGAGCGGGGAGCCATTTTTTTTACCCGGGGCCATTCTGAAACGAAGAGCAGGGAGCCATTTTTTTTAACCCGGGGGCCATTCTGAAACCGTCGATCAGCTGGCTGAAAATTGTCGTTTTGTGAGAATCGGTTCCTGAAGCAGGGAACCGATCATCACAAAGCGAAATTCCCCCATAGGAAACATCGTTTTGCAATCGCTTTTTAGCGATCGCAAAACCTTCGTCGTAATGCGATTTCATCATTAAACAGGGCGCTCATCTTGCGAGGCACCACTGTACTTTCCTTTTAAGCCTGGAGATTATACATCTCCATCATGGCTGCCTGGAACAGTAGTTACAGAATACTAGCTGGTTCTATATGTTAACTGGTCTGAAAATGAGAAGCATTGCCTTCTCAGACCATGATAAGGCTGGTAAAACAGATTCTTCCATTCTGACAATTTCCTTGGTAATGCAAAGACAGCTTGGGCCCTGCTGGTGGAGTTCTAGCTTGTGTACTTACAACCACATTGAAGTTGCCCTCATTCCCAGCTAAATAGTAAGAGCCATGCAACAGATCCCAGTTAACTGCTTTCAGTGTTTGAATACACAGGCTAATTATTATGAGATCTTAACTATGTTGGAATGTGTCCTATATAGATGTGGATGATACTTTACTGTATGAAAGGTAAAGGAAAAGCATAACAGACAAGAGATTACTAAGCTATAATATACAATTGTTTCTCTGAGGCCCATCTGTTTTTCAAGCCCTCCACAGGCTAGCTTTCCAACCCCTCATATTGCCTTATCCCAAGTCTGTGTGCTACCAGTTTTGGCTTTGAGATCTGGCCTTGCCCTTTTCTGCAGCTTTGCTAATGGAAGAAGAAAATCTCAACTCTAAAGTGGATCACTCCTAAGTTAACTAATGTATCATGAACAGCATTTTTTTAAAAAAGGAAAGCATCAGTTTGGTTCTTTGATGCATAAATGTTGGGCGGAAATGATATTGCTTCAATGTAAATGTATAGATTACCTTCGGAACTTTCTTGTCTGCTGTTTTTCAAACTCTGGAATGAATTTATATAAAATGTAGATACTTGCACCCAAAGATTTGTCCAATTAGTTGGAATGAATAAGTGAAATACAGGTCTTCTTCTCCACCTCCTTTGTACCTTTTGCTCCAGATGTGAAAGCTCTTTTTCCCTAGCAAGATCCAGTTTGAAGGATCCGTTTACCAGCTAACTATGTGCGAATTCTCCTCCTGGTCAGTGCTACTTATCCCTCTCCCTAAGCTCTATGCTTCCTCTGTCCATTTCCTCCTGATTTGTGATTTCTACACGATGTTGACACAGCATTCCCTCCCTTGTGCCTGGTTCTTGTTTCTCAATCCACAGTGTCCTCTTTCTCCATCCTTCAGCCTCTTCTTTTTTGAGGTTCATATGCTGGACACTTGGATTGTTTAACTTCCAGATCTCTGGCTTCCTACCTGATTCTCTGCACTTTCTGGTACCAGCATACCATCTTATGACCCAATACACTATGTAAGATGTTCTTTCTTTGACTGACTTTTAATTTCCTTCACAGATGCTGCTGTGATTGACATTTTAGCCTTACTGACAGTATATTTATGAGATAATATCACAGCAGCTCAGCCAGTAAAAGGTGGGCGAAAAGAGAGCTCACAGCTAATGAGTAAATGACAACCAATTGTTATCAAACACACAATTTCCTTCATGGTATTAACCATGTTTTATTAAGTGATATTTTGAGAACATAATTTTTCAATATAGGGTTCTTTTTGTTTAAGTACCATATGTTTAAGAGTAGATATAGATATATAATGTAAAATAACTACCTTTCTTTCAGGCAGCTGATGCCCACCACTGTTTTTGGAAGCAAGAGCTCACAAACACACACGTGTAGCTATGTATGCATAGGCCACAGCACAGTGCTAGAAGATTAACACATTTATATGGGCCCATGCAAATCTAGAAGTGCCTATTTTGCTTGGGCATATGTTCGTGCGAAGATTGTAAATAATGTAATTCTAGAAGGATGCTTCTATAAATGTCTCATCAATTTCCCAAGCCTGTTCCAATAGCCATTTTTCTTCTTCATTTCTGCCGGGTTTCAGGTGGGTGGTTTGGTCACTTTCACATATGCCCAGGTTTGTCACGGGGCTCAAGGTTCAAAAGTTGCCTCTGAGACACCTACAAATTCAGGAGCACGGAGGCAGCGTTAGCCACATTTTGCTGTACACTTTATCGCAGGAGTGTGGAATCTGTGCCACTGTGGGTGATGTTGGATGCCAGCCCCATCTCCCTTGAGCATAGGCCACACTAGCTGGAGTTTATGGGAAATGGAGTCCAACAACATGTGCATGGTCACAACTTCTCCGCACCTGGCCCTTGTTACTTAATACAGCCTAGTTCTCACTTAGGTGGTAAACGGATATGTGGGCTGCACCACTTTAAACTGCACTTGAGTCTAACTTGAGTGAAAGTACTAAACAAATACATCTGCATGGAGAGACCTGCCATGGAGAGAGTGGCCTGGTATAAGGACCTGTTATTATTAGGGTACTTGCTGTAGGTCCGGTCCTTGTAAGACACTATTTGCCATGTGAAGTTCCCAGGATGCTCTGGTGTTTCACTGCCCTAGACATTCCATGGGCCTAAGAGACATTAAATTGCCAGTTACAAATGACTTTTGTCAGTGCTGCTCCCACTGAGCCTATTGAAAAGCACCAGACGACACTTTATATATGGTCTCCTCAAGCCTGGGACCTCTCCTGTCTTGAGTTTAACTACATTTTCACACTCAGGCACTAATTTTCCAGGTGAAAGCATTTCCAAAAAAAGGGGGGGGGGAAGCTCAACATCTGAAGTGGTACAGCTCAAAAGCTGCAGTGAGAATAAGGTGCATGAAATAGTGGCATTATATTGCACTGACCCATTATAAACATTGCTTTCTTTCTCCAGATACTTTTGCTCCAGTTTGTAAGTTACCACCTCTCTGTTAATAAACAATCTGTTTTTAAAATAAAGTGAGAATTCTTTTTGCCCAAGAATGTGCACAAAAGCTTTGAAGAAAAGAGGTTTCCCTTCCCTCCCCAACAGTAACACAGAGAGGGTAGACCAGCACATGACATACCAGTGAGTATAATCCTTTATATACAGTGGTGCCTCGCATCACGACGTTAATTCGTTCCAGCGCAATCGCTGTAGAATGAAAACATCATAATGCGAAAATAAAAAGCCCATTGAAATGCATTGAAACCCCTTCAATGTGTTCCAATGGGCTGGAAACTCACCGTCCAGCGAAGATCCTCCATAGTGTGGCCATTTTCAGTGCCTCTGCAGCAAGGAATCCATCCCAGAAAACAGCGGGGGAACCATTTTATTTACCCGGTGGCCATTTTGAAACCGCCGATCAGCTGTCTGAAAATCGTCGTTTTGCAAAGAATCAGT